ATCCACACCTACACCCACATCCACACCTACACCCACATCCACACCTATACCCACATCCACACCTACACCCACATCCATACCTACACCCATACTCAGCTCGGCAAAGAAAATCGCTTTGAGAACAAACACGTTCGACAGCGGCTGTTATAGCCCGTATGCATTAATATTTTGTAGCTAGTTTAGCTAATGTGTTATATGAATTAGATGCTGTTGGTTCAAGAGAATCGTGTTGTCATTGTTACTATCATTAAAATAACGTGAAATTTCTTCTTTCATATAATTTTGTGAATTAATTCGTTTTATTTTTTTGAATATTTTTAATCGTTATAAATATTTGAAAATAGACATTTCTTTTTGAGTGCACTTGGACTTGACGATTGAGCACTGTTGACTTGTTTCTGTTGAACCAGTTCAACATTCACTGTAGCAGAAGTTTCTTTACTATATTCAATAATTATACCATGATCAAATATGAGTTTTTTAATTCTTACACATATAAGTTCTTTAACTGCATCAGGAAGAAAAGATTCAGTAATTCAATTAAGTTTGAACATGCCATCGAGAAATGGAGTAAACAGGAAAACAGAATCTTTATACAGATCATAAAACTGGTTTTTCTTTTTAAATTTGATACTTGTCTCATTGACATCAATTTCCAATTGTTCCAAAAGACTACCGAACCGTGACAACAAAGAAGAAATTGAAGCATTATATAACTTTGTTGTATATTGAATGTAATTGTTTTTCATTTTAAATCACAAGTAACGTTCATCGTCAAGCGATTCACTTAGCCCTAGACTAATAGAATACATGTACGGATGTAATAACATAAAAAGCTACATTAAAAAAGTAATACGCAAAATTGATAATATGACCAGTATATCTTAGGCGACCAGAAAACTTAATTTGGAGAATTCTCACTCTAAGTAAAGATGATGCATTTACAAATTTAATTTTTTTTATCGTTTTTGTTTTATTTTTTTTTTCTTTTATTAATATAAATAGCGCCCAATAACATTAGACAACAATACGATTTTTTTATAATTATATTGGCGCTATTTGTACGTACAAAAATATGAATTATATTATTCATAAAATTTGAGTTTTATTAATCGATATTTTATGCTTAAATTCGCGCATTAATTCTAAACTATTAATAAATTAGATATTCATTGATACAACATTGCACAATCAATCCTACAATAATGAATAATTTAAACGATTTCTTGAAATCCATACTGCTCATTTGGTCTGACTCTCACTAATTAAATGTTTTTGTAAGCCGTTTTACACCACTACCCGAATTATAGTTATTCCATTGACATTTTACCCATGATTACTTAGAGTATACCAAAAGTTCTGATCACAGTTTTTAAAATTTAATAAAGCAATAAATATTGAGTATTTTACTAAGGCAATATATAGTATAACGTCTCGTCTTTAATAATATATAGAACAACTCTCTCTTAGACTTAGTTCTAACATCCTTTCAGACTAAATCTATAGTATTTATAGCCAAGAAAAGATCATGCCAACATAAAACCACAATACAGAAACGAAGAGACATTCGTTATTTTATTTTATTAAATGCTCAAAATAATCACCATTATTTTCGATACAAAGTTTCATTCTTTCTAACAGTTTATCGAAAGTCTTTTTAAACTCGTTTATTGGAATATTCTTCACTATGGTGGAAACCTCTTGAGCTAATGATTCTTCGTTTGTGTGATCCGTCAACTTGTTCTTGATATAATCATTTAGCCAAAAGTCACGCGGTGCGAGATCTGGTGAATATGGTGGATGTGGAATGATTTCGATTCCTTCCTCCATTAAATAATCAATAACATCTGGATGAGTATGAGGAGGACCATTATCATGAAGCATTTTATATGTAGTACGTGATGACTTTTCCTTTTTTCTTATTTCATTGATAACAGGTATAAGACAATTATCAATATAGTAGTCATGATCGATTGTCTTGCCCTTATCTACTTTGTGTATGAGAAGAGAACCAGTGGATTTGAAGAAGAAGCAAAATAGTGTTCTAGGTTCAAATCTATTCCGACGAACAATGGTTCTTGGTAGTTCATTTTCGCCAACCCAAGTAGCATTGCTTGACTTTCGACCAATCTGCCTGTGATAAATCCATGTCTCATCACCAGTAATAACATCACATAAATGCCATGTTCCATTTCTAAATTTCTCTAAATTTTGACGACAAATTCTAAGTCGTTTTTGTTTTTGTTCGTCAGTAAGTTGATGAGCAACCCAACGTGATGTAACTTTTCTCATCTTTAGACGATCATGAATAATTCGTTCTATTGTACCACGTGATAGATCAGTCTCACCCATAATATCATCATAAGTTGAGTGTGGATCATCTTCGATAACTTGTCGAACGCGTTCAACATTTTCATCTGTAAGTACCGAAATCGGACGACCAGATCGAGGATCATCAGTGACATCGTCTCTTCCTTCACGAAAACGTTTCGCCCATCTTCTGACTGTTGGATATGATGGAGCATCAGGTCCCAATGCCTCTGTAAGTTCGTCAAAGATTGTTTTTGAATCTATTCCCAAAATAGCTCGAATTTTGATATAATATCGATTGAATTCATCAGTCATGTTTAATGTCTTCTTTTAAGATTGAAATCAAATTCTATTACGATTTTAAGTCGAGTACGGTACAAATGAACTAACAGCGAACGACCTCTCATTTATATATACTATCGAAATGTAATATTCTAGAACATGACGTCATAAAACGTGACGAGAGAGTGACCAATAGAAAGTTCCAGAATGTACCTGACCATTGAACAAGAATTAATAATATTTGCATTGTCTGTAAAATTATAGATTTAGTCTGAAAGGATGTTAGAACTAAGTCTAAGAGAGAGTTGCTCTATATATTATTAAAGACGAGACGTTATACTATATATCGCCTTAGTAAAATATTCAATATTTATTGCTTTATTAAATTTTAAAAACTGTGATCAGAACTTTTGGTATACCCTAAGTATTATGGGTTCATTTACATCAGTCTTTAGATGGTCATTTGTACCATAGTTACTGGAATAGTTGTTTGTACCATGGTTACTATATGGTCACCTGTGCCATAGTTACGTGGTCGTTTGTACCAAAAAAATGACCGTTTGTGCCATAGTTACATGCTCATTTGTACCATAGTTACCTAGTTAAATTTAGTAAAAAAATGGCTGTTTGTGCCAAAAAAATGGTCACTTGTGCCAAAAAAATGGTCGTTTGTGCCATAAAAATGGTCACTGGTGCCAAAAAAATGGTCGTTTATGCCATAAAAATGGTCACTTGTGCCAAAAAAATGATCGTTTGTGCCATAAAAATGGCCATTTTGACCGCGTTGCCGGCAGACAGACGGACAGACAGACAGACACACACAGGTGAATTTCGGTTTCTAGACCCTAGCCTTTCAGTCTAGGGAAAAATAAATAGCAAGATTACTTGGTGCAACAAGAGAAATAGATGGAGAATTATCACGTTGCGTAGTTGTTGTTACTTCAGCAAGTAATGATAATAAAGCAAGGAACTCATTCAAAGCCGCGAAATCACGTACATTTAAACATAGATTTGAATGTTTTAATTCGATTAGAATTTTATTTAATTCAAGAGTAGGTATAGTTAAAACACTTTCAGTAGTTAATAATTGAGAGTTCCAACGTGTAATAACAGCACAAGGTATTGATATTTTCATCGCATCTAATTTTCCTGCAAATTTTGTATTTTTATGTGAATGTTTTAACTCCACCATAAAGATCACAATCCATTGATTTTCATGCTGGTCGCAAGTCCGGAAAAAGGAGGAGCGTTAGATGGAAGGGGTGCAGATACCGCCGTCTGTAGAAAAGAAACGACGAAAGAAATCAACCATGGGAGATCAATATCAAAAATCATACCGATTCGGACGTTGCTTGGCTGAACAAGGTCTGCATCCTCTGTCGAGGAACCAGGACAGAATCGAAAAATTGGTTACTGGAACAACCATGCACGCAACAACGACAACAAAAGCAACAGCATCGACAACAATAACAAATGCAGCAACAAAACCAACAACAAATACAACAGAAATATCAACGACAAATGGAGCTCCAAAACAAGCACCAAGCACAAGAACAACTAAATATGGCTCACAAGGTCTGAAAATAACGAAGGACATTCTTACTGTTGACACTTGGAATGTTTGAACACTATGAGCAGCTGGAAAATTGGAACTATTAAGAAATGAAAGGAAGAGATATAAATGCGACATCATCGGCATTTCAGAAGTACACTGGACAGGCAAAGGTGAGATATCAAATGACAACATCATCTGGTCAGGAGAAGACAGTACACACAGTAAAACTGTTGGAATGTTACTCAGTACAAAAGCCAAAAAGTCACTTTTGGGCTACAATCCAATCAACTCAAGATTAATTACTGCAAGATTCAATGCGACACCATTCAACATAACAATAATCAATGTATATGCTCCAACATCTGATGCACCAGAAGATGACATCGAGACATTTTATGACAACCTGGAAGATGCTGTGGCACAAACGCCGAAAAAAGATGTCCTGGTCATAGTCGGAGATTGGAATGCAAAGGTGGAAAATGACAACACAGAATGGGAATCTGTTATGAGCAGATACGGTTATTGAGATAGGAATGAACGTAGAAAACGGTTATTAGAGTTTGCAACATTACACAACTTATTCATCTGCAATACAAGATTCCAACAAAAATCAAGTCGAAAATGGACATGGGAGTGACCGGATGGTGTGCACAAGAACATGATTAACTTGATCATCATACAAAAACGTTGAAAAACATCCGTCATCAACTGCAGAACATTTCAAGGTGCAGACATCAGCTCTGACCACTCCCTAGTGTTATGCAATATTAAACTAAGACTGAAGAATCTACGCAATAAACCAAGACACAATCATCGAATTGACATGAATCAACTCAAAGATCAACCAACAAGACAATCTTACAAGCAAAACTAGCAAACAACTTAAACAAGATCTATCCAAACTCCAGTATCAATGACTATGCTGTACAAATCGGTAAAGCAGTCAAAGAAGCATTACAGTCAAGTGTAACTAATACAAAAACAATCAAAAAGCCCTGGATCGCCACTCAAACATTCAATCTAGCAGACGAAAAACGAAAAGCAAAACAAACAAAGCATATGTCAACAGAACACAACAAAATATACAAAGATCTCTGTAACAAGGTGAAAAAGTCATCAAGACAAGACAAGAACAAATGGATACAAGATCAATGTGAAGAAATTCAAAAAGGCCTCGAAGTTAGTCACACCAAACAAGCATACAAGTTGATAAAAATGTTAAAAAAGAAATATATACCAAAATCAACTATCTTACGAAACAAAGATGGCACAATGGCACAATCAAAAGAGTGTATCGAGCAACGATGGACACAATGCTGCAGTCTCCTATATGAAGACAAAGGAGGTGGAGAAGAAATGGTAAAAGAACTCGAACACATAACTCCTTCTTTCACAGACAATTCAACTGACATATTATATGATGAAATCGAGAACGCAATAGCCGAGCAGAAGAAAAATAAAAGTTCAAGAACCGATCAAATAACAGCCGAAATGTTGCAAACTGGAGGTGAACAACTGGTACACAAAATTCACGAACTGTGCAATAGAGCATGGAAAGAGGAAATAATTCCAGAAGAATGGGGAAGGTCAATCCTAGTGCCAATCCCTAAGAAAGGCGACCTCAGTGAATGCTCCAATTATAGAACAATATCTCTTATAAATCATACAGGAAAATTTCTACTAATGGTGTTGTTAAATAGACTCAAACACCATCTGGATCCATATCTGTCAGAAGAACAGGCAGGATTTAGGAAAGACAGAAGCACAATTCACCAACTTCTGATACTCAGACTCCTGGCAGAAAAAGCAAAACGCAATGGCAAAAAGATTTACAACTGTTTCATCGATTTTCAAAAAGCATTCGACACAATCAAACACAAAATCATATGGGCTGTCCTAAGATCGTATGGTGTTGATAACAAGGTGGTAACACTACTAGAAAAGATCTATGAAAAATCTCGATCAGCAGTTCGAATAAGCACGGATATTGGTGAATGGTTCCAAACAAGTGTTGGAACCAAACAAGGTGACCCTCTGTCACCACTATTGTTCATTGCATAGTTGGAGAGACTGATGGACAAAATAACATAAAAAGACAATGGAATCAAGATCAATGGAATATTTATCAATAATTTGAGATTGGCCGACGACATCGACCTTTTAAATGAAGGGCGGCCCTCACTTCACAGACAAATCGATCAACTTACAAAAGTGGCTGAAGAAGCAGGACTAATGATAAATACAACTAAAACAAAAACGATGGTGTTTGGCGGCAAGAACATGGATGAACAAGTACAAATCAACGGCAAAACTATTGAAAACGTTGAGGAATTCGAATATCTGGGAAGCTTGCTCACCTGGGACAACAACTGCTCAAAAGAAATCAAAAGAAGAATCAACAAAGCAGTTGGAGCAATGTCAAACCTAAAGCATATATGGAATGCGAACAAACTAAAAGTTGAAAACAAACTAAAGCTGTTAAATACTCGCGTCTTCAGCGTATTACTATATGCTTCAGAAACATGGACTCTCAAAGAAGGCGACAAAAAGAAATTGCTTGCATTTGAAATGAAATGCTATCGTAGAATACTACGGATTCATTGGAAAGATATGGTACATAACGCTGACATAAGAAATAAAATAGCAGCTCACGAAGCCATAATAGACACCATCAAAAAAAGAAAATTAAGACTCGTCGGTCACATCCGTAGAATGGATAATACTAGACTGTTAAAACACGTAGTTTTTTCCAGAATAGATGGGAAATCCAGAAGAGAAAGACCATGCAGAGAATGGCTAGATGATATCACGGAATGGTGCGCGTACAGCTGCCAAGATCTGGTTCATCTAGCACAGAACAGAAATCAATGGAAAGAATTGATTCGAAAAGTGATTGGCCCCAACGGGCGAAAAGCCTACGGGATATTAAGATCAAGAGCAAGATGTGAATGTTTTGCAATTGTAGACACTTTTTCTAATGATGATAAGATCGATAGTGTTTTCCTTTAATCCATCCTTTACAATAAGCTGGATTGTATGAGCAAAGCAGGGAATTCTAAAAACTTCATTGTTTTCTAGTAAACTGCGGGACGAATCTTTACTAACAATGAAGGTGTTTCAAGTGATAAGCGAAAAACCTAGATTTGTTTACATCAAATGAAAGCTCTCAGCGCCAAGCTAACAGGGTTAAAACATTAGCAGCCCTTAGTTTGTCTACAGGGAGATAATTGATTTTAGCGATTCTAGCAATGTGAGTATATATAGGAACATTATGATTATTTGCATTAGTTTTTTGTGCATTCATTTGAATGTTTCAGTAGTAGGTTATAAGAATCTTTCTGAAATTAATCAATTACATTAAGACCACATTAATTTCAGTATCGTCTGAAATTTAAGTAATACCAATATAAATACAGATCAGTGGGAAGTTATCAGAATCTTAAACTTATAGATAGTTCTATTCTTTTTTCAATGCATAACAATGTATTATACAATATATTATCTTAGAAAATGTTCTACAAGTGCAGATGCATATCTTCAATCAGATGATAGTAACATAGAGCTTTTTCACACCAGGCACATTTTAATAGTGTTCGTTCGCTACAGTTGTTAATTGAACAATACAGATCATAGTACTTGAAGCAAACATCTTTTGGTTTTTCTATCTGTCCAATTGTTTTATTTGTTATTCGAGCTTGTATGAATCCATTCTTAATTAGATTTTAAAATGGTGAAGCCGATAATTGATTATGAATAACAGAATGTATGTTGATAAAATATTGACGATCACTTATAGTTATTTCTGTTCGGTTAATATGAGTATAATGTTCAATTTTTTCATGAATAAGTGCCCATAACCGAAATAAAGACAGATCCTGTGGTTGAATATAAGCCGTAGATCCTTCAGGAAAAAGCAATAATTGACTGTCTTGATGAGGAAATACTGCTTTAAATTTCGTTAGATCAGCTTGAGTTTTCCAAGCATCAAGAAAGAGAAGAAATTTTTTACCAACAAATAGACACAGAACTTCATTTAAAAAAGCGTGATGGTTTTCGTCATTGCTTTTTCCTGATTTTGAAGCTCTTACTACAACATTTGGTGGTATTATTAATTTTTTTTGTACTCTTTTACCTAGAGTATTTTCTTTTTCTTGAAGTACAAGTAAAAACTTGTCTAATAAAAGGCCATTAGCTGATGTTACTGGTTGAATTGTATAAGAATGTGTGACATTATATTTCTTTCTTGTAACTACTTCTGTTGTTCTATCACCAGTAAAAGAAAGAGTTCTTGGCGGAATATACTCTTGTTGAAATGAACAGTGATCGCTATTTAAAATTTGATGAGATGGATACTTTGAAATGAAACTTCTTTTACTTTCAATCCAATTATGAGCATCTAAAAATATGCGTTTCTTGCATTAAGACATGTGGATTTAAAGACCAAATAAGTTTACAAACCATTTAGAGTGCAATTTTTTCTATTTGAGTTAGTTCGAGTAATAATTTTGTTGTATCTTCTGGATGATATTCTGTTTTCTTTTTTAAAAATGTTGATAAATGATTTGCTTGCCTTGAAGGTATTCCAATTTAATTCTCTTGCTTTTTGAATTGCATATAATCCTAGGTCAGCACCATGAACGGATTCTTTTCAACTGTTCTTTTCAAATAGAACTCATTAATCATAAATTCTTTAATTTGATTTAATTTTTCTAATGTTGTGCCGTTGTTTTCGATGTATTGTCTGAATCTTGTAATATAATACATGTATTTGACTTTTTTAAATCTATGTGAAATAGTTGCAAGTCCAGCATTTGGATGTTGGTCAACCTATTTGACTATTTTTTCCATTTCTTCTAATGTAAAATGATCATTTATATCAGAATATTCATTTTCATTATAATCATTAATGTCATCATTGCTCTGTTCTTCATCAGTCAGTTCATCATATTCATCGTCGAGATCGAGAGTGTCATATGTATACAATTCAGTGAAGTAGCTGACATTTATAGATTATAAAACTTCGAATAATCGTTCGGCAGTCAAAATTTCATCAGCAGTTGTTGAATAATT